CCACTTGAGCCAGTCACCATAACTCATGAGTTAATGCAAGCATTGCCTACAGCAGCATTATTAACAGGTCTGGGCTCATCATTGTCTGGGCTCAGCATTGTCGGGGCTCAGCATTGTCTTGTATTAGTCTGTTTAATTCGCATGCAAACTTTTGTGTGCAAGGAGAGGAACGGTCACGGTATTGTGGTAACTATTGTGATCTGTTATTTACTTGTTTGGCACGATTGTACAAAATACATATTATGTTTGGTGTTAATGTGAATACGCACATTATGAGAAATAGTAAAACGTAAACCTTTCATATTGGACTCAATATGAAACAATCCTAAATGCATGGACTTTTGCGGACTTACAGTGTTTTAGAGGAGAGCACAAATCCATCCCCTGTGCGTTTGTTAACGCGGACTCTGAACGTCAAAGCTTCTCGGTGCAATGTGCACGGCGATCTATCCAGAACGTTCCTCAGCATGAATATGGTGGATGCAGATCCGGGTATAATAATAGCTATGATCCTTGCGAGGCGACAATCGGATGATCTAGCATTTCCTATGTAGTTGTCCAATTAGCTTTATCAAATAGATTACCACTGTGATGCTCTTCTCCTTTCGTTGGGCAAAATTATAGAATACCGAGATAGCTTACCGGTACAAATATCGCCCACTTGACATTTCTACTATTATAATCCAATAAGCAGCGCGGAGTCCGCATTTCCCCTAGCAGATTCAAGGCCGAGAGCATGTCGACACTTACTAGCACGGACATGGGCGAGCTCAAGCGTCCGACCACACGCGTACATGCACCACCAGGGGGCGGCTCAAATTGGGGTATTAGTGGCAACTCGGTGCCAAAACCTATAAATGACACGCTTCCGACACCTCAAGAAAATATAAAGCCACCACCCGCACCGATGCAGACTCAGAGGCAGAGCCAGACTCAAGTAGCTGTGTCTGAATGGCTTAAAGAGAAGCATGTAGCTATTGTCAAGACAAGCAGCGACGTTGAGATCGTAGACGCAGCAGTGCAGAACTGTCTGATCAAGTTGCAAACCCAATCTGTGCGTGTCGAGGTTTTTACAGTTGTTAACCTTGAGCAGCTTCCATATGCTGCCAATAAACTCGCAGCAGGTGGTGACTTTGATTGCGTTCTATGCTTTGGATTCTTAAACACGCAAGATCCGCAATTCGCAGCGCTGAATGCCGCACTCACACAAAGTTTTATGAAAATCAGCGTCAAGCACGTACGCCCAGTGGTACAAGCTGTGTTCGCTGGGGAGCCACGTGTAGCTTCTGTTAAAGTGCGTGGTGGCTGGGGCGCTCACTTTACAGATGGCGTTTTGTCTTTGATAACATTAGGTGGGTTCTCTGGGCCCACGGCCCATCCTGCATCTAGAGTTCCTGTAAAGAAACACTTTGAAATAAGTCATGGCAACGTGTTACCGGCGACACTTCTTCGTGGATCTAAAACGGTGTTGCAGTCGCTTGTAATCTTGAGAAACTCGTTGTATGAGCACGGCGCAATAGGTATTCGAGGATTGGGAAGAAAATTTCGCATTATTGATGATGATGGCAATCGCTCACTAAGTCTCGATGAGTTTACAAAGGCGATTCGAGAGC